CAACCAGGACAGTCTCAACAACAACCACAGCAGCAGCCACAACAGCAGCAGCCACAACAGCAACAGCAACAAACTCAACACACTCAGCAACAGCAACAGCCTCAACAGCAACAAAGTCAACTAGGACAGCAGCAAGCAGCTTCACAACAACAACAACAACAACAACAACAAGCACAAGTTGCAGGAATGAAACAACAACTTCCAGAAGGTGCTGGAGCTACTACTCTCTCTCAAACACCACAAAATCAGGGTCCACCACGTGCACTCTCTCAACAAGGAGCAGTGAACCAAGCGCGTAGCAGCTATGATATGAATTCCAACATCCACCAGTCCAACCAGACATCAAACCACGCGCATCCCCAAGCCTACATTGGCGACCGTAACATGGATACCCGAAAGATCAACATGGCTATTCCCAAGAACCTCAGCATTTCCACCACTCCCGAACCTGTTACTATGGGGACGGCCCGGCCCACCCTCACCACTGGAGCCAGCCATGGCTCCATGGGAATGATGGGCCAGCCAGCCATCCAGAAGCATCCTGGTTATGTGTTAGAGGGAGAAGGTCAGCGTGTCCTCAGCAAGAAGAAGCTCGACGACCTAGTCAGACAGGTTACCGGAGGCGGCGAGGGAGAAAAGCTCACCCCTGACGCAGAAGAGGTATAGCCCCCCCCCCCCCCCCCCCAATCTTTTCTCCCATTTTAACTCGTAAATAATATCTAACGACTTCTATAGTTTGTTCTCCAGATGGCTGACGACTTTGTCGACGATGTGATCACCGCTGCCTGTCGTCTCGCCAAACTCCGTCCATCTTCGACCTTAGACATCCGCGACATCCAGCTCGTCCTAGAACGCAACTACAACATGCGTATCCCTGGCTTCTCGTCCGATGATCTGCGTACCGTTAAGAAGCCCCATCCCACTCAGGGCTGGATCCAGAAGATGACTGCCGTCCAGGCCGCCAAGGTCACCCAAAGCCGCACTGAGTAGATATGGTATGTGACGGCATACCGGCTCTTTACGGCGTGAAACGGGCTCCTTTACAAACACAGCAAATATTTGTTTTCTTCGCTTTTTTTGGTTTTTTATTTTATGCACTGGAAGTTCGGGGTGAAAAGTCTTTCTCTTCTTGCCGAGCTTTCTACAGAGCATCATCTTCTACTTCGGCTTTTCATACTCTGTAAGGAGCTGTTCACGGTGGTCATCTGTCGACTGGCGAAAGGTTTCAAGTTAGTTCTCTTATTTCTACGCTGAAATGGGTGCATAGGCAAGCAGTCGTCAGAGTTGTGTATCATAAATATCTAGCACCATCACATATATACTCGCTCACTATCGGTCTCTCTCATCACTCGCCTAGCAGCTGCATGACTCGCAATCTCCATCAAGCAGAAAAAGCAATGACAAGGGCGACATCATCCTCGGAGCCTTGCCCGGGGTCTTGTGATGCAGGCGTTCGCTATATAAGTACCATAATATACCCATTAGATACACTGGAGTCGCATCAGATGAGCGTAATCAGCTGGAATCCAGCAGCGTTATCCGTCATGTTCAAGATGCTCCAAGATATCTCCTGCTCAGCCCCAGCAGCTCCCTCGTATTGTTATAATAATGTAAATCCTTCGCTGCAGCTGCATGCGAATTGCATCCTGAGCGCATTTCTCATAGACTCTTCCGCTCAACCCGATCTGATATTTGACTGTATCATTGTCCAGACATGATCTAAAGCCGACCTCGTCCTGTATTCCATTCCAGCGTTTTGTTTGTCTTTTTTTTCCCCCCCTCTCTTATTCTAATATTGCCATTGTCATCGGATATAAGTCGGGATGGCTGAGCCTACAGCTCGTCCGGCGATGGTTTCAGGGGAACGTTCACGAAGCAGATCTCGAATACCTCGTCTGCAGACTGGAGACCCGATCCCTCCGCCGACGAGGCCAGCGAGACCCGGTATGTGAACAGCTTTTTCTTCGTCGTTCTTAAGCTGCGGTTTGACATGCCGGAAACCGAACTGGGCGTCGTTCCGTTGTTTGTTTACGAGCATAACTAGATCGGCGGGTTTGGCTAACAAGCAACTCGACAACAGAGCAGTTGACGCCCTCGACGCGGCTGGCGGAACAGCTACCGAGTGTTGGACAGCCCAGAAGTAAGACTCCATGGTTACGCTGGTGTTGCACTCAGCCAGGGACAGCTTTCCGATTGGATAACTAAGATCTGGCTTGGTGGTGATGGTTGTTGACATGTTATTATCTGCAGAACGACAGTCACGGCGACATGACCTGGGCCCCAAATGGCACAAGGAGTACTCGGAGATCGATCAGCACTGCGGGCGGGTCCTGATCATCGATTTTGTGAAGCAAGGTAGGTTACTGGACGTGCATTTGCTGGAGATGATAACTATAGGATGCTAACTGGACCGCCAGAGGCGAGCAAAACCCGCATGCGCAAAGTCAGCGCGGAGGAGATATTCGATCTTCAATCCCTCCGCAAAGTGTACAACAACCCTGATCGGACCAACGAGGCCGTCCTGCGTGTCTTTCACGTTCAAAACGCCGACTGGGCCAAGGAGTATCTCCTGAGGAAGTTCAACATCGACAACCGGGATGATCTCGTCGGCAACGACTTTGGGAAGTATGTCCGACATAAGAACCCGGAGAGACGTGGCGGACGGCCGTTTCTGAACGGGAAGACATGGAAAGTCCAGTACGATCCGTGGCGAGGAATCAGTAAGACCTCGTTTGGACTGGATTATCTGAAGCAGTACCACAAATCTGTGCATCTTACTCCACGCCACCGTCGGAGTCCCGGGGATGATACCCTCAAGATGATGGAACTGGACTCCTGGGGAGACCAAGGTAGGTACTTTGTTGCATACATACTCATTACAGGTTTGAAAAATTGTGAATCCTTTGCTTACTCCGAGTACAGATAATCCAAGTCGTGGCTATGATGTATATGTCCAGCGGCTCAGCTGCTATATTCAACACAAACAAGCCACAGGATTGCCCTCCCTGGAAATTGAGGATTCGGATATCAAGAATCCGTATCATATAGAGGATTGCCAAGCCGGTGACTCCCCCGAAAAGCGGAAGGACGTATACGTCCCATGTCTGAGCTCTCTGGATAACGGCAATGCAATCCTTATATTCGACAATTCTCACACCGGATGTCTAGAAGACACTCTCATCCCACCCCGTCAGACATGGGAGGAGAGATGGAGACGACTTCCTTTCTTCCTTGCCTTCGAGTCGAAGGATCTTGTTGAAAGTGATGAGCAGCTCGCTCACCACAGCACCAGAATTATTTTAGACGATATTTTCAAGGTCCTGACCGCAAACTGGGATTCATTCTTAAATTTAGCAATGGATCATGTTAGCATGTTGGAGGACAAGATATATGAGCGGCCAGCAGATGAAACCCGCGCCCCATTGCTTTGGACCAACTCGAGTTTGTGGCTCAAAGTTGAAAAGTTACTGTTCATTCACCTTGATATCGTCAAAGAGATGATAACACGGCTGCAAGACCTGACAGGTGGGTTGATCATGGTTATTGAGTGCCTTGATAAGACAGTATCGCTAATTTGGTATGAGCAGATGACGTAGAATCAGATACCCCTTGGCTGGAGAGCATACCCGGTGACTTTGAGCGGTTGGGCACCACTATTACCGAAGATCTGATAAAGCCGACTGAGAACCTAATATCCCTTTTGTATCAGTCAGTCTCTATCAGGGACAGTCGGCATAGCATTCAACTAAACGTCAGCAGTAAGTAGAAGGGCTCTTATCTTCTTGGACATAGAATCGGCTGGCTAATCGTCTATAGTGTGGCGTCTGAGTTGGATCACTTTCATCTTCCTCCCTATGACTTTCATCACTGGATTCTTTGGCATGAACGTTGATACCTTTAAGGACAACCCTGATATTAAATGGTACTTTATAGCCACTGTACCATTCATGTTCCTGGTCCTTATCCTTTGGTACATAATCAAGCATTACCTCGCAGGCCGACGCCAAACTCCACATCAAAGAGGTATTTATGAGAATTTCTTCAACGAGATGGCAGATCGCAACCCGTCACTCTGGTCCAGAATGGGACCGCGTGATTATGTTGTTCCACGGGGCATACTATCACGTATTAAATGGCATTTCATCAAGGTTTGGAGTGCGCCTGAACGTACAATCTTGCTGGACACCGACAGTGATGGATCGGGTGGTGATATGGGCACCATGTTCAAGATAAAGCAATATTTAATTCGCAGATGGACCTCCCAGCTCCGAAATAACAAGGCAGTCAAGGAAACAGCCCTTGAAGATGGGTTAATAGTACCCGAAGATGATACCGTTAGTGAAGTACACAGTATTGCCGACGGGTTGGCAGAAGCTACTGAAATGCTTGTGATACCCGCCACTCCAGCCGTTGAGTCTCGAATAGTGCCTGAGATAGTGGCATCGCATACCACTACTCAAACTCAGCCAGATGCCCCGGAGGCTATAGCTCCTCGCTCAGCATTATCGTTGATAAGCAGCGCACATCGTCGAAGTAGCAGCGCCGGAAGGACCAGTTGTTTGTTGGTTGAAGAAGAAGATTACCAATGGTTGAGTGAACGAGGTAGACAGGGGATGCGATGGGCCTGGAGGTCGTCGAGTTCCAGGGGTAGGAGTCCTCACGGAAGCCCCCGTCGACACAGTCGAAGCCGTAGCAGAGAAGATAGAGAAGTTGAGAAGAGCGGCGGTTCTACTTCGCCCGTCGATCAGGGCACTGGGACGATGCCGCAATCGAATGATGATAACAACGAGTCACCCACAACGGCTCATGACACATCTAACACCCATACTTGAGCAGCATTAAAGTATGTTGGGTGGTTTAGAATGTTTCTGATCCTACGGGGATGTGCAAATGATAGATATGATACCCCATTAGACCTTTTTTTTTTCCACATTTTCTTTATCTGAACATATCAACACTTTCTTCTTCAGTTTCGAGACTGTCACTTCGCCATAACCCCTTCATGGAACGACCTTAAAAGCAAAACATCCTGGACCCGTGAAATGGACATGTACATATTCTGCCTCCAGCTCAGGGTCCCCAAACACTTCCGTCTTCAACGTTTCCATCAACTTCGCTCCCTCCACCACTTTGCTCCAGACCATCATGTTTCCAGCGTCATAGGCCCTTGCCGTGAGTGATCGAGCATGGTACCTTGCCGGAATGCCGAGTTCGTTATCTTGAGTGCCATCGTACCAGGGACACTCGTCTGCATGCACGAATATTGGTCCCGGACCACTATATGGCGTATCACGGTTCTCGGGGAGGAACGGATTGTACGATACGAGCAGGACGTCTTCGTTCAGGGCCGCATTTTTGAGACAGCGACGACATGGGGCGCCGCCGAATGTTGGTGTTACCGTTGATCGGATGGTGGTGGGCTGGTTGACTTCCACCGGTGTAGGGAGAGGGACGATCTTCATCTTGATTGTTTTGTGGAGTTAAGATAATGTAGGTGGTTTTTTGATATGTAGATTGAATCGTTAGAATTGATTTAGAGACGAGGACATGAGCTGGTTTATATATTCATCATGGCAGTGTACTATATTTGATCTCGGGCTGCTTGCTGCTAATGTGTTCAATTACATCGACACCTAGGCAGGCCGTATGGAGGAGCAGAGTTGCTCTCAATATATTCAATTAGATTATTGCCGGCGTTGCATTTCCCTGGTCGATACATATTTCGATGCTACGGGATTATACTTTAGAGTGTTCGTATTCGCCCCTTGCTGCCAATATGACCAAATACAAGATCGTGGAGCGGTGATCAAAGAATTTCGGGAATAATTCCATTACTTGCTAGTCATTTGAAAACAAAAACAGCAGTACAAGTAGAGCTTACACACGAGACAGCTTCTCCCAACCATCTAGCTGGCCGATAAAACGGCCCCTATTTGTCGTTCTGATACCCGATCAGACAGACCAACCATATCAAGTACAGAAAACAAGAAGCGAGAACACGGCTGCATTTGATCCGAAAAGGAAAAAGAAAGAAAGAAAGAAAGAAAGAAAGAATCAAAAGGAGACCCAATCATTGGCCTTCTTCATCGCTCTTGACGGGTAGAGGCGACCGGGCAGTGGTGTCGACTATGTCCTCATCGTAGGTCATCCCATCAAGCATTTGAGCGTCGACAGCAGCTGTAGCTCGCGAGCCCGGTGCAGATGTGGGTGACTGGGGTGGCTGCTGAGACTGGCTCTGGTGTGTGATTGGGTGGGAGAATCGGCTTGAGGTAGGACTTGAGCCCGCTACTGCAGTATTACTGACGCCCGTCATGGAGGAGGACTGCCTGCTTAGTCCTGCTGCAGCCAGGCGTTGTACGGGGGTGGATATCGGTCCCGAGATGGTGCTGTTTGCTCCCTCACCGAATCCAACGAGACTTGCGTTTCCTTCGTCGCTGAAGGCGTCTGTAGAGCGTGCATCTGCGTCGTCTGGATCGACGTCTTCTTCGTCTATGGTTTCATCTTGTCCGTAGACATCGTCGCTTCCGCTGGCCCAGGTGGTGCGTGTGCGTCCGCCGAGACTGCCACGACTTATACTTTCCGTCGCACTAGCACTGCCGACTGTGCTGCGCTCCTTGAGCATATGAGGATGTGTGTCAAAGTACTCTCCCTGCGAGAGCCCGCTGGAGTTGTGTGCGTGAAGAGGATTGCCACCTGCAGCCGTGCGAGCGGAGAGGCGCTCCAGGCCAGCAAGGCGAGAGATGCGGTCTGCGCGCTCAGCGTCAAGAGTCGTTGTGGACGTTTCAGAAGCGTTGGAGGAGGACCGATGTGGCCGGTGACTGTGGGGTCGGCGAGCTCCCTGGTGGCCGTCCTTGATGGCTACGGTGGACAGCGCGGAGAGAGAGGTTGTCCCTGAGTTGGGAGTGCTCCTGTGCCCATGGTCAGCGAGAGGTTTCTTAGGTGTATGGGCCAATGGAACAGGGACACTTACGGGCCCATCTCCGAGGGGGTGACGGGGTCCGATGGAGGCGGAGGGAGGTTGATGAGTGTAGGAGTGGTCATTGTTGAAGGTCCTCGAAGTGATAGAAGTAGAGCAGGGCCGTGGATCTGTGTCTCTTGTGTGTCTTTTGACAGAAAGGTATCTCCGTTTTGTCTAGTTATCCAGGAGTCAGTATGCTGGCTGTGGCGTATGAGACACACATGCGGAAGCCACCCACCTGAGAGATATGAAGCAGTCAGCTCTGTGAAGTCGGCTCTCTGCAGTCCCGTATCAGCGCTCTGTCCGTCACTCGAGCAAGCAGTAAATCGTCCTTCTGTCGGTCGTCTCTGGCGGTGTTCCTGTCGTTGATCTCTCTCTGTCGTTGTCTTTCTGGTTTGCCCGAAGCGAGGGAGATGAAGAAGAAGAAAAGAAGAAGAAGAAGAAGCAGGACGTCATCGCCAGGAGGTCCGTGATATTATGTAAGCATGTCTATCAAACCTTATTTTTTTTTTTCTTCTTCTTTTTTCTTTATTAATCACAGCAGAAATAATTGGCAGACATGAAAGACAATCACACAATAACAGCTGAAGGCAAGGGCCTTTGTCAGGCTGTTCTTTCACAGCAGTACTACATATTCTAGGCATAATAATATAGTATCTATCGCTATGCGCTGTCCACTCCACACTGCCAGCACAGCTCTACAGACACCTAACCCCTACCATTGACACCTACACCCACTGTATACTCTCCTTTGAGTCTCTTTATCTTATTCTATGCATGTCTTTTTATCCTCCTCGCCGTCTTCTTTCTCTGCTTTTCTTTCTCGCTGCAACTTTTTAGCTGCTGACTAAGCACGCACGTACCACTTCCCCTTTCGCTTCTTCCCACTTTGGGAAAAAAAAAACCTTCGACTTTTCTTCTTTTTTCTTCTTCTTCTTCTTCCTTTTGACGCCCTCACGACCTCCAGCTTCACCTTCGCCTTCACCTTCGCCGTCACCTTCGCTCTCTCGGCCTCTCTCTCCGTCACGTCCGCCTTTTCCGCTGTCTCCAGCCCAGCGTCCGTGGAGGATTCATCGAGCCTGTCGCGTTCAAGCAAGCCAAACGTAAAACAAGTCCAGGGTCCAGGCGGTGAAACAGTGCAATAGTTATCTCAAGCTATATACATCTGCAATCTATCCTCGCACACTTGATATCGGTGATTTTTCGACCCTCGACTTCTCGCTGGCATTCACTTGTCTAGCAGATTTCGACCGGAGAGAGAAGAAGAAGGGATTTGGCCAGCTGCGAGCAAGCAAGCAGCCGAAAGGGAGGACATAAAAAAGGGAGCCGCACAAACGGGTTACAGCAAACTGCAACAAGGCGCCCTCTTCAACGCACAAAGAGGACTGCAGAACAAAAAGAGCCTTCGATCAGATATTCTCGAGAACCTGTTCGGGTCTAACTAGGACGAATTACCGTTTATATTTATTCTTGGTTAATTCTTTTATATATCGGAGCCTTCTCTCGGCTTTTGGGGAGGAGGGAATATCGCTGCCTGGGAAAAACCCTTGTCATATAGTGTTGGTCTCTGTTCTGTGGCTTTGAGTAGTCATGGCAGCTCCAACTCAGCTTGCTTGTAAGATATACAGCCTGGTGTTTACTGCGTCGAACATCTTACTGACTGGGACGACCAGACCGTACGGTGAAGGGCATCGGCATCTTGGATGCTGCCCCGGTTTACGAATCCTTGCCTGGCTTCGTTAGGTATATATACCATCTGCGCTCCCTCACTACAAGACTAAATCCAGAGCTCACATATTGTCCAGGCCTGAAGGGAACCTCCGGTGTTCCGCATACTCCGCCTGTGGCCGGTATTTCGCCTGGGCTGCCCCAGAAGGGTAAGCTACTGCCTCCGCTGAGATTGCGAATCACTATCACTAATGACCAGCCACAGTGTCACCGTCATCGATGCTTCGGTGGGCCACATAGTCAATCAGATTCCTGCAGAGAATGTGTACGAGATAGATTTTTCGCCCCTGGGCACATATGTCATCACCTGGCAACGGCCATCCAAGGACGAGAACGGCGATGCGGTCCGGAATCTTAAGGTGTGGAAGGTTGCCACCGACAGTGAAACCCAAGACCAGCAAACCCCGATCGGCAGCTTCGTTCAGAAGTCACAGACAGGCTGGAATCTGCAGTATGCCTCGGACGAACAATACTGTGCCCGTGTCGTGACAAACGAGGTGCAGTTCTACGAGAGCGGGAACCTCGGAACCGTTTGGAAGAAATTGAGGGTAGAGGGGGTCGCGGACTTTGCTCTTTCACCAGGCAAGGGCCACGCTGTCGCCACCTTTATTCCAGAGAGAAAGGTAACCTCCGTAATCGACCTGGTTTCCAAATGGGATGCATAAACTAATTATTATGATAGGGCCAACCTGCTTCCGTCAGGATATTTGATATGCCCAACTTCAATGCACCTGTTTCGCAAAAATCATTCTATAAGGGTGACAAGGTGCAGCTGAAGTGGAACAATACTGGAACCACTCTGATCGTCCTCGCTCAGACCGATGTCGATAAGAGTGGTAAGAGTTATTACGGAGAGACCACTCTGTATCTCCTCAGTGTTAGTGGAACATTTGATTCTAGGATCGACCTAGGTATGTTGGCCCTTCATCTAATCCCCCTATTTTCCCACGGGCAACAATAGCTGATTGTTAAATAGACAAGGAGGGCCCAATCCACGATGTTACATGGTCCCCTACCTCCAAAGAATTTGGTGTCGTGTACGGCTATATGCCTGCAAAGACCACCATCTTCAACACCCGTGCTGTAGCCACGCATTCTTTCCAGCTTGGCCCACGAAATACGATCATATTCTCTCCACATGGCCGCTTTGTCCTTGTTGCTGGCTTTGGTAACCTGGCAGGCCAGATGGACATCTATGATGTGGAGAAGGACTACAAGAAGATCGTCACCATCGAGGCCTCGAACGCGAGTGTCTGTGAATGGAGTCCAGATGGTAGACACATTCTCACTGCCACCACCAGCCCACGTCTACGTGTTGACAACGGTGTCCGCATCTGGCACGTTACTGGAGCTCTGATGTACAACGAGGATATGAATGAGCTGTATTCCGTGTCGTGGCGGCCACAGTCTCCCAACAGCCACCCACTGACATCAAATCCTCTGAACCCAGTGCCAACCCCGCACCCATCTGCCACAGCATATCTGAGCACCAAGAAGGCTCCTACCAAGCCTGCAGGTGCGTATCGTCCCCCAGGTGCCCGTGGGCAGAGCACTCCACTGGCCTTCCGCCGTGAGGATGAAGGCGGTGCTGCATTTGTCCGTGAGGACTCGTCTCCGTTTGCATCGAATGGCGGGTCCGCCCCAAGTCCCTTTGGCAAGCCCCGTCGTCGTGTTGTACCCGGTGCCGAGCCTGTGGAAGAGTTCCTACCACCCGGAGCCGCTCCGGGAGGCGGAGTTGCTCTTCCTCCTGGGGCCGAAGCCAATGCACCTGCACCAGAGAAGCTGTCCAAGTCTGCTGCGAAGAACAAAAAGAAGCGAGAGGCCAAGAAGGCCAAGGAGGCCAGCGCTGGCGGCCAAGGGGACGGCGGTGAGAATTCCATTGCTGCTCCCAACGCCGGGAGGCGGGATCGCAGTCGCTCCCGGCACCGACAGCAAGCCAGCGGCGGCGCGAACGGTGCCAATGGCACGAACCAGGACCCTAACTACCCCCGTGGAGGCCGTGACAGGAGCAGAAGCGCCCACCGCCGCCAGCGCAGCGATGGCCGCAATAACACGCCAAACCGCAACGGTAATGGCAACCAGCCTCATGACCGCCGTTCACCAGCCGTCAACACCACTGGCCGCCAACAAGCCGCACCACCAGACCTGACCGTCACCTCTCCCGACGGTGGTAACACTGCCAATGCTGTCCCTGACGCAGCGGCCATTGCCCGTGACAAGAAAATGCGCAGTCTCTTGAAGAAGGTCCGCGCCATCGACGAGCTGAAGATGCGTGTTGCCAGCGGTGAGAAACTGGAGGAGACTCAGATGAAGAAGATTCATACTGAGGATTCTGTTAGGAGCGAGCTGGAGGCTTTGGGATGGACTGGCTGAGCGAGAGGTGAAAGTCGAAGTATATAAATCAGCGGAGGATATTAATTAATAAGAAAAAAAATGATACAATCTCAGTATTGGAATACTATATACTGTCTCTACTCGTTACTGCTTCCATTATTTAATAGATGTAGCTGATATCTTATGTGTTAGTGAATAAGTTAGACGGTGGAGCGTCATTCTCCTATCTTCGTATCACAGCATCACAGCAGTAAACACCAACCAACAAACTACCAAACTACCAACCACTGGCAAACTAACCAACAGTCACTAACGAAGGGCTAATAAAACACACTCACAGCCACCGTCCACTCCGTGACGTCTAGCCTTCGCCTCGATAATCCCTGCCTCTGCATCTATCTCCTGTTGGCTTTTCCTGCGCGTTCATTGGGCAAAAGCATGGCCCGTCACAGGCTTAAGCGCCGTGTCTGAGACGCAGGAACAGAGCACACCCAGGGAAGAAACGGGACCAGCGCAAGATCAGAAGATGAACGTAAGACCCAAGATAGTTACTTATGGCCAGCTATCCATGTTATCTTCAGCCTGAAGGTGGCAGGTTATATCATTTCAGGTCTTATCTATGACCTATTAATCGCCTTATGAAGGACGATAGCGACTACAAACGGACCATAGGACTGGACACTCGGGTCATATTGACCATTCGGTTTTTATACCCGTATTCCTTACAGATCAGCGCTTTGGCAGCTTCCAGACCTACTTCAGTGGCATGAATCGAGCACCACATGGCAGTGGCAGGAGTCGCCTGCGCGGCGGCATCGAAATGTCCCATATACCGTGGCAGTCGCATGAACAAGAACGGTCAAGGATTCCCCCGTTAGCCAGGATGTTGATGTCCGGTGAGATGAGCGGAGATCCACCCAGGAGTCTTAATATGAAGGAGAAATTTGATAGATGGTACGCACTATCAACCTGGCCGGATGATGATGTATTTTTGGCTAACGTGGGTACTGCAGGATGGTTAATGATGGGTGGAGAAGATTGTAAGTCTTCCATATACGGCACATACTTGTGTATTGCTGACGAGTTCAGATTCGTTACAATATTCGCTTTGGTGCATGTCCTTCTGTTTGTGGTTGGTATGCTTAACTATAGCTTGAAGGTATTGCACTCTCCCGGAAGAAAGGATGACTTGGTTATTGACATTGAATAGGACAATCTTAGCAAAGCTAGAGGATTGCTTGGATCTAGTTACGCTGTTGCGAGAGCTGCTGCTTTGGTGCTGCACTTTGATGTTGCCGTGATCTTATTTCGTATGTTTACCCTTCAGGAGGCTGTCTATCAATGGTGCTAACGGAGAACAGCTGTATCTCGCACACTTATTTCTCTTCTGAGACAAACACCCTTGAATGGCGTTATACCCTTTGGTACGCTACAGTACCTAATAGTCTGGACTTGAAAAGGACAATATGTACTAACTAATTTCTTCTATAGATAAGAGCATAGCATTCCACCAAAGTATGCTTGATCATCCCATCTCCACTACTCTAGCTAACGGGCATAGTAACTGCATGGTCAATCGTGTTCTTCTCACTACTACACACCATTGCACACTGGGTCAACTTTGCTCGCATTGCAGGCTCCGAAGGCCTAGGAATCAAAGGCTTCCTCCAACTTAACTTCACCACGGGCCCTGGATGGACCGGATACATTATGCTAGTAGCCTTGGTGGCAATTGCACTAACGTCTTTGGAAGGCCCACGAAGAGCAAACCATGAACGATTCTGGAATACCCACCATCTCTTCATTATCTTTTTTCTATTCTGGTCTTTCCATGGAGCATTTTGCATGATCAAACCTGACCTACCCCCCTTTTGCGATGGAACAGGCGTGTTCTATCTCTACTGGATATTTGGAGGCTCTGTGTATCTGCTGGAGCGGCTCATGCGAGAAGTTAGGGGTAAACACAGGACGGTTATCACCAAAGTAATTCAGCATCCAAGCAACGTCTTTGAGATCCAGCTTCAAAAGGAGAAAACAAAGATGAGACCTGGCCAGGTATGTAGCCTATCTCTATTGTAGTAATTGCTATGCTTACCATCACTTAGTATATCTTCATCAACTGCCCAGTAGTATCAATATGGCAATACCATCCCTTCACCCTTACTAGTGCTCCTGAGGAGGATTATATATCCGTACACATACGCTGCGTTGGCAACTTCACAAAGGACCTGGCAAAAGCAGTTGGCTGTGACTTTGACGAGAAAGAACAGCCTTCCTACGAGCGACGTAACAGGCGTGAGTCGACAGTGATAGGCGTCAATGCCAACACAAGTGAGCAAGACGTCGACCCAAGACTTCGTTGTATACTGCCACGCATTTTCATTGACGGGCCATTCGGCAGTGCATCTGAAGACGTGTTTAAATTTGAAGTAGCGGTGTTAGTCGGTGCTGGAATCGGCGTTACCCCGTTCGCCTCCATTTTAAAGAGCATATGGTATCGAATGAGTCAGCGACAGAACAAGACACGGTTGAAGAAAGTGTACTTCTTCTGGGTCTGTCGAGATTTTGGCTCCTTTGAGTGGTTCAGCTCATTGCTGCTTGCCATAGAGGCCCAGGACAGGTATAGTAACATTGAGATCCACACGGTATGTTTTACATTACAGTGAATCCTCATCATGCAGGCGGCTAGTTAGTTACTAACCTTCCTCCAGTATCTCACGGCCAAAATCCAATCTGATGATGCAACGAATATTATGATCAATGACGCCGACGCTGACCGAGACGCCATCACTGGTCTCCGTGCCCCCACCAATTTTGGCCGACCAAACTGGGACATGGTTTTCCGGTCAATCCGGAAGATTCATGCCCCAGCTGAGGCGGGAGTATTTTTCTGTGGACCAAAGGCGTTGGGCAGCGTTCTGCATGTGAAATGCAACATGTACTCCGAGCCAGGTTTCAATTTCGTGTGGGGAGAGGAGAATTTTTAATCTTGCATATCATAGTCAGACTTAACTGAGATCTCGTGAATAGTCTCTGTCGGACGTATCCTTTTGACGTAAATTGTGCGAGCTTGACTTTGAACGAAATCTGATATGTATATCCATACAGAGTACTTAGACGCTCGAAAAGCCCTAAAACAGTGCAATTACGTCATCCCGCATTTCCCCATTAAATAAAGTTCACCAGCGGGAGGCGAACCTTCTTTTAGTTTTCGTCTTTTTCTTTGTCTTTGAGATGCAAACAATAACAATGAGAATACTAGACTATCTTTTTTGCCTGGTAAATGAAGTGGCTTTGGCTACGGTAGAAGGTGGTTGTCAAGTTAGCAGCTGGTTTCTTCATACTATGATGTATCTATATCCATTCTAGGTTGACATCCATTGTCTTTGAGGTGCAAATGGAATGAGATGTCAGAGAAGGCCAATAGGAAGAGGACGGGGTAGCTCCAGACTGGAGAAGCGGTCAGAACGCACTGACATGTAGAGCTCTTAGCCATTTAGTAGACATCAAGTCAAGGCCTGGCATCAACAATAACTTCAAGTTTTAAGTTTGGGGTGATGTTTCTACGTGCCTTTGATAAGTGGCGAATGCAATCAATCATAAACATGATATTATTGTTCGTGAGAACTGGGACTGTAGTAGTTGGCCACCGCCAAAACTAAAAAATGGAAAAGGGAAATATCATCGCGTCATCGCTAATGCTAAGAGAACAAAGCATGCTGCGTGTTATATAATCAGGGTATTGCAGGGGGTACTGGGTCAGGCCAGCTATGGGGGTATGTATGTATATATGAGCCGTTCACAGCACAATTCACTTCTTTGTACTTGGGTCACGGTCACGGTCCCCATACTGGCCGCGAAACTCGTCGAGGTCGTGCTGGAGCTGGGATAGATTGGCTAGTATATCATTTGCGTTTGATGGAGGTGAAATGTCTGGTTCAGGCGGGTTGCTGCCTCGACTAGTTTTGCGATGAGGCGGAGGAGGCGGTGGTATAGGATGGTCTTCTGTCTCCGTTGATATTGAAGATGGCCTTCTAGTGGAAGTAGAGGTGGATGAGGCGTGATTTGTTTCTGTTGAATGAGACGAGTGGGTTGAACCGGCTGTTCGGCGCGGTGGGGGAGGTTGTGGTCTTGCTGTTGATGTTGGCGGATGGATGTGGGTATATGTATGGCTTGGGGCCTGAAGGTGTGGGTTATGCGGTGGGGAGGTTTCTGATTCTGCTTTTTGTATAGGGGTATCAACTGATGAAGTGTCGTGTATAGACGAGGCGGTTGATCCGTGATCTGTGGTACTGCCTGTTCTGGTCCTTCTAGATGGCGGAGGAGGAGGAGTCTTGGGATGCGTAGCACTGTTCAAGGAAGCAGATCTATTCAAAGGCTTGGTAGAACCGGGCGGTAGGGCTAGTCTTGAGGTATTTGTACCGCTCCGTTTCATCTGGCTGTGCCGACGTGTTATGGGAGGCGTTGGAGGTCTTTTATGCTGAGTATGGGCAGGCGGAACTGGCTCTGATTGTGCTGCCTGACGCCGAGCGGGGGGCGAAGGGGGTTGAGCTCCATGTATGGAAGAGGCGGGTGACTTGGTCTGGCTTGTTGCTTGGGGGGAAACGGGGCCAGTAGCTTCCGTAGACTTTTCAGTCGACTCTGAGCTGCGAGAGGAGGAGGATATGGCTTTTCCTCTCCGGGACTTTGGCGGAGGTGGCTTTTGCGGCTTCTTCTCACCGGCAGGCTTGGTCTGGTTCTCTTGCGCGGTAGTGGCGGCAGTAGACAAATCTCTGCCCTCGTTGGTATTCCCAGCCGTATCCCCCGTGAGTAGCAGCCTCTTAAACGCATCGACGTCCATCGTTGCTCTCTTCTTCGTAGCTCCGGCTTCAGCATGATCCTGCTCCTGTCCTTTGCTCCGCAGATCCCCGTGGTACGACACCCTTCGTAGAGACGGCATATCAGCAACGGGACCTAGCCCGAGGCCCAGGCCGTCTTTTCCCCGCGCATTCAGGCGTTCTATCTCGTCATCTTCGTCACCATCGTCGTCCTCGCCGGAGCTCCCGGAGCTACCGATAGCAGCATTGAACGGATCCTCGGCTGGCTGAACACCCGGCGTTGAAGGGCGATGGCCCGACATCTGTCGCCCCACTGACCCAGCAGACGTATATTCAGAGAGGTTAGAGCCAAAATACCCTTCTTCGCCGTCATTGATGTCGTTGTTGCCGGGTGAAGGTATCTGTTTTGCCGGGGGAGAAGCGATGCGAACGGTCTTTGGGTTCGAAGCCGAACGAGAAGTGGGGAGTTCACCTGTCATACAGCATGTTAGAGATAAAGTGACATTCAGCAGTACAATATACAGCTATATCACCGTATATCTTCATGGTAAAGCGGGTATATAGGCCATAGTATAGAGTAGACGTACTGTTCTCAAACAGCGGCCTGGACAAGCCGTAGTGCTGCTGCGTTTGGCCGTGTTTCTGCCTGGCAACGTCTACCTCCAGGCCGGCAAGCCATTCCTCTGCGGGCCCAGGCCGTCTGCCGTCATCGTCCTGCCCTGTCTGCCGTTTGTCCTGGCCGCGAGGTCTGTTGCCTGGCTGTGCCGTGGGGAGGGATGCGGAGTCACTTGCGGCCGTTTGCGAAGACGAAGAAGACGCTGTTTCTGGCGCAGCAACGGCTCCGGGAGCAGCAGTAGAGACGGCTTTCTTATGGCGGAAAGGATTTAATCCAGACATCGTACATGAGGGCGCTGGCGGGTGCGGGCGTGGGCATGAGTGCGATGCGCGGCGTTTGGGAGCTGAAGAGTTGGTTTAGCTGTCTTGGTTGGTTTGCGCGGGCGAAGAACGACGGAGTATTTACACACACATCCCGGCGTACCAGCGTCTACTACGAAGACTACGAAACGACCATGGCTATATTATTAATAGGAAGACTATACTGATATTAAGAAGGTAGAGACGGATTAAGTGACGTATTTTCCATCCTTAAGCGCATGCAGATCTCAGTAGCTAGATAAAACCGAAGAAGCCCTATGGCAATGAAACTCCATCCGTCCGTCCAGAGCAAAGCCGTTGTCCGTCCAAACCGCCAGTTCCATAATAAATAACTGATGAATATGACAATATAAGAAAAGAAAGATATAGATGTAGAAGAAGTAATCCCCCGCCGAGCTGACCCTCCTAGGGTTGAGCCTAATAGTACAATTTCACCATCCACCAAAGCCCCTTATTTGCAGATAGACGTTAACAGGTTCCGACGTAGAATACGTCTTTAACAGCTTCCAGTGTAGATTCTCCAGTCGTTGTCTCCGTAAAAGGTCCTCATCAAGGCCGAGCCGCACTCCGTCGGCTGGCTGAAGGCAACCTGTGTCCGGGCCATCTCCATGCCGTAGAAGTAGTTGCTGACCACGCAGTCGAGCAGGTCGAGCGCTATGCCCTTCCGACGAGAACCCCGGCACGTCCAGATGCGAGATATGCCCACGAGGACGGGGTATGTTTCCTTGGTGAGGGAGAGAGCGCAGCTGAGGCTTGAAGGGCGCTTTGGGATCAGCTTGGACGGGTTGGAGGTGATGCCGTGGGCTTCCCAGATGCGTTCGGCCAGGGCGAGGCCAACGCATCTGCTGCCCTTCATGTGCAGGAAGAACTTGAACCGGTCGACTTCCTCGCCGCCCTGTTTGGCCTCGACCTTGCTCCAGAGGACGCTGTCATCGATGTCGACGGCGCCCAGGTCGAGGTTTGCTATCTCGAGCACACGTTTGGCGTGTCTTTTCGATCCAGCCGAGCTCTTCCGGTCCACGATGACGACGTATCCTTCCTCGAAGCGGGAGGCCTCGTATACCCAGCGCGAGGCATTTGCACGGACAAACGACTTGCCAAACTCGACGCCGCCTGAATACGCCGAGTTGTGGTCATGGTATCTGCGGTGTATGGAGCGGTCTAGTTCTGACGAGGGGATATAGTGCATGCCACATGTGTCGCACTCTATGCGTACCGTGCTGGCCGCTACAGCAAGGTCGAGTGTTGTTTGTTTCAGGGCCGGCCGGGACGCTGTTGCTGGCGCAGACGCTGTGTTAGTAGTAGTAGTAGTAGTAGTTGATGTTGATGTTGATGTTGAGGTAGTTGGTGTTGACTCCGATGCAGCCTGAGTCTGCTTCTTCTTCGCCGGGGGATCCATCGACCGCATGCTGGCACTGCCCCCGTTGACCTCGAGCTCCGTCAGCGGCGTATCGTTCGCAGACCGCTTGCGTTTCAGGAAACTAAAGGTTGGCTTGCGGGTGCTGGCGGGGGGCGGCGTCAGGGCGAGCTTCAGCTTCACCTGCTCGGCCTCGTGCTCCCGCGGCGGCGGCGAGCTGGGCGGCGTCGACAGGTCGTCGTCCAGCTCTGGGATGTCCTCTGAGTAGACCGTGGCGGCCGTGGAAGTGTGACGCGACGGACTGGACAGGATCGCAGCGGAAGACTCGCGAATCGCACAGACGAGGTTGTTCTCGCTGCCCATGTCGCCCACCAGGGGCGGCTGGAGATGGCGGTCCCCGTCATTCTCGCCGGCAGTGCTGCTGACGCTGCTGCTGCTGATGGTGATGCTGGCGGTGTTTTCGTCTGCTGGCATGCTGGTTATCCGCCGTTTCTTCAGCGCTGGATCAGGACGCGACTCCGGGCACAGCACGCGCCGGAGCGGCCGCGCATAGGTTTTCATGAGTAGACCTCTGCAGCCAGCCAGTCAGTATAAGTAGTAACAGAAAAGAATAGTGATCTTCACCGACCTCTTGAACGAGTTGGTCACGGTGTAAGGCGTGTCCCGCGCGGAAACCATGAGGCCTGCCTGCGACTTTGTTTCTTAGCAGCGAGTGGCGGCGGCGAGCATGTACGAGAGCTGTAGATGCAACTTCTGGTCTCTCTCGTGTACGGCGGACGGACTGATCTCGACAGCAAAGACGCAGAGACGCAGAGACGCAGAGACGCAGCTTTGGAGCGGGCGATGGTCCTTTTTATTTGCTTCTGTATGAAGTCTTGCGTTGTTGGTTGTTTTTTGTGTTGTTTTTCTTTTTCGCTCTTAATAAAACAGTCTGATATTAAGCAGTCGAAAAGGCTGGTCCTTGGCCGTTGACCCGCGAGATGAAGGACAGGAAACAAGCAGGATGAAGATGACGACGAGGACGGATGAGTATTTCTCTGCCTGGAGAGATTTTATGCTGACTGGGGTTTTCTTCAGGTCGGAAAGGGGCTGTTGGTCGCTGCAAGGGTGCCTGTAGTCGACGGAGCTTTCGGACAGACAGAGAGATAGACAGCTACAGAGGGCAATTCTACAGCCAGGCGGACGGCAGACAGCAGACAGACAGCAGACGGCGCTTGATATAGATGAAAAGGCTCAGTCGTACCCGTCGAGGTCAGCATCACCGTCGACCTTCTCTTTTGCTGCAGCAGATGTGGCGCCCTATTCGTGTGCAGGGCCGCATATTAACGTCCAACCCCCAGCCAGCCAATAGAGACGGGCACGAAGGCTTCTACAGGGACTTGCAGGGGATGTACAGGAGGCTATAGGCACATATAGGCTATGGGCAGCACCGCTAGCACGCCGACTATCGACAGGGATCTCTGCCCTGCTCGCGCTGCCCGACCTGCATCATGCGACGTTTAACCTTGACAAAAAGGAAAAAGGACGCAGCGAGAGACAGACAGTCGAGGGAGAACGAGAGATACAAACACGTAAATACGCGGGCCAGCGGATCCTCACTGGCTGGCTGGCTGCCTCTTCTTGGCCCTGGTTACGGTTACGGCTGCAGTTCTCCTGGCACTGTGCCACCGTTGAGTAACTCCGTCAAGTCCTTTGATGAGAGAGAGAGAGAGACGCAGAGAGAGACGCAGACGGAGAGAGGATGCGAGAAACATGAAGAATAGTCATACTTGGTTCGATGTTTCTGCGTCTGCGTGATTAGCAATTCACGCGGCCAGCTCGGGATGCGGATATCATTCTAGATGCTTCAGCGCTTTCCATGCCATTGGCCCGTCTGGAAGTGCCCCAGAGGGAGAGAAAAGTCCCGACAAATGTCCGTCTGGCCGGGCGTCGTCCTGCTGGCCGGATCGAAGTGCCAGTTATGGTCTGCTACAGCCCTATCTACGCTACACTGCCCCCAGCTGGGTGGGTAAGCCGGAATATTATTGGGAAACCAGCTGGTGTTTGATGTTTCGATGCTGCCAGCTTGATGGTATTCTGGACTACTCCGTACGGCGCATATGACTTTGATAGACGAGGTGAGTTATGCAAGATGATCACCGCTCAGCATGAATGAACAAACACTACCGAGAATGGATATGGATTCCTGGATATACCGTCATTCTCATCTGTCCGGCCTTTTCTGCCAATCACACCTGGATGTACTATCAAGCTTCTCTTAGGAATCCTGCATCTCTAGCTATGCGGCTATCAGGGGCATCTCATAGTCCTCGAAGGGTACTCTATAATGTCAATATAGCAGCAGATACGGAGTCAGCAGGATATAATACTATATAACAATATATCTTGATCAAATGGACGCATACAAAGTAGTTATAAGGCTATGGAGATTCCGCAGGCATGATATTAGACAGTAAGATAGAAGCTCGCCTCGGACAGCTTCATAGCATCAACAGCTATAGCAACAACTATCAATAGCTACCAAAAACACATAATATACTGATATCACCGTCTAATAATGACAATAACACTGCTGAGTCTCATAGTCAATAACGACTGCCGAGGTCTGCAGCGAAAATCCCGAAACACCACGAAAACTCCACAATAAGCGCGACTTTTTGAGCCGAAACCCGGGATTCCTTCTCTGCCGCCATCTGGATGTCATTCAATTGAGCTCTAGCTGGCTGTATTGATCTTTAATTGACATTGAGTACGGGGTACAGGCTGCAAGATGAACGCTGCGCTGAGAAGAGGCACACTGAGGGCTGCGCTGGGAGCCGCGAGACGGCCAGCAGACACCGCAGGCCGACGCAGCGCACACTCAGCAGCGAGCTTCAAGTGAACAGATCCGCTGGATGCAGAGAGTCTCTACACGGCAGACGAGCTGGCTATCCAGGACACGGCCAAGACGGTACTGTCAGGAGCAGCTGGCCCCGAGAGTCCTAGGTGTGTTCCCTTTAACTGGCAGCAACAGCTGTATTATACTAATGAAATATATAGAGGCATATCGAAATGAAGCCTACGACCCGGAGATTCTGCGCGAGATGGGCTCTCTGGGCCTGCTGGGCGCCACGATCCAGGGCTACGGCTGCGCGGGCGTGTCGACGGTGGCCTCGGGCCTGATCACCAAGGAAGTCGAGCGAGTCGACTCGGGCTTCCGCAGCGGCATGTCCGTGCAGTCCAGCCTGATCATGACGGGCATCCACGAGTTTGGATCCGAGGAGCTGAAGCAGAGACTGCTCCCGCAGCTGGCCCAGGGTAAACTGCTAGGCTGCTTCGGCCTGACCGAGCCCAACCACGGCTCTGACCCAGGCAGCATGGAGACCGTTGCCAGACCTCACCCTACCAAGAAAGGGTTCTACAGTCTCTCCGGCACCAAGACGTGGATCACCAACTCGCCCATCTCAGACGCCTTTTTGGTCTGGGCCAAACTCGACGGCAAGATACGCGGGTTTGTGGTTGAGCGAGACCAGTGCCCCGAGGGAACGCTCAGGACGCCTGCTATCAAGAACAAGACTGCCCTACGAGCTTCGATCACGGGCATGATCCAGATGGATAACTGTCCTGTGCCAGAAACTAATATGTTTCCTGAAGTAACGGGCCTGGTGGGACCGTTTACCTGTCTGAACAGCGCCAGGCTGGGCATCGCGTTTGGCACGATGGGGGCGTTGGAGGATTGTATCAGCCGAGCACGAGAGTATGCGCTGGAGAGGAAGCAGTTCAAGGGCAACCCGCTGGCCAAGTACCAGCTTGTGCAGAAGAAGCTGGCGGACGCAGCTACGGATGCGGCGTACGGGACGCTGGCGGCGGTGCAGGTGGCCCGGCTGAAGGACGAGGGCAAGGCTGTGCCGGAGATGATATCCATGATCAAGCGGCAGAACTGTGACCGGGCCCTGGCTGGCTCGCGGACGCTGCAGGAGATCTTTGGCGGCAACGCTGCGAGTGACGAGTATCATATTGGCAGACATGTAGCCAACCTGTTCGTTACCCAGACCTACGAAGGCCAGAGTGATATCCACAGTAAGTCTTTATATCACTCTATATTACTCTATATTTACTATCATACATGCTAACCTACTGACTATCCAGGTCTGATCCTTGGACGGGCCATCACCGGCGTCCAGGCTTTTGTATAGTACATCTGTAGACCCTATAGTCCATCATATCCATATCCATATACTCATACTCATACACACATATCCATATACATAGACAACACTCTACCACTTCACCCTCCACCATCCACCATCTTCTACCAACCGTCTACCACATCATACTCTCTACATCTCTCTTCTCTTCTATCATCATCTACCCCTATCGTCTACCCCCTACTGTTCCCCCTATTCCTCTTCTCTGTCCTCGTCTTATCTTATCTATTAGTCAGCTCTTAGTCAGCTTTCGCCTTTTCTTCGCTTTTTCTCGCTTTTTCTTCTTCTTCTTCTTTTCTTCACCAGCAAAAAAACATCAACAGCGACGACGAACTCACCTTCACGATAGACGAGGCTCCTCCCGCAGGTACAAGAGACCCTCCCCTTGCTGTCGGCCTCGCTGCCAGGCTGCTGTTCCCTCTCCCTCTCCCTTCGTTCGTCCTCTGCCTGGCTGCACGAAGGGGGAAAACAACGCATGTCCCGGAACCAGCTAACACCCAACCCCGCCATAGCCACCGAAGAGAAAAAACTCACCACCGCCGGAACGCACACGACCACGACCACGACCACTCCAGGTCTCGCTCTCTCCTCTCCCATCAGACACTCCGCGTTCATACAGCCGTCATGGCCCTCAAGCGCATCAACAAGGAACTCACAGACTTGGGACGGTCAGCCACTCCTTTACCCCCCATCCGCTTCCTTGCTTTCCCCAGCCCCGTGGAGTCCGGCGTCTAGCAGGAGACTACCCGGCTTCTACACAGATATACACGGCATACGACACTTTATAAACTGCCTCTGACTGTTCTGATATAGTGATCCCCCCTCTTCTTGCTCTGCTGGTCCCATAGGAGACGATCTGGTACGCACCCCCGCTCTGTTATGCAGCTTACGGACTATATAACGCCGAGAAGCTAACATATGGCAGTTTCACTGGCAAGCTACGATCATGGGGCCCGAGGGCAGTCCCTACGCTGGCGGTGTCTTCTTCCTCGCCATACATTTCCCAACAGACTACCCTTTCAAGCCACCAAAGGTCAACTTCACCACGCCTGTGTACCACCCAAATATCAACTCAAACGGCAGCATCTGCCTCGACATCCTGAGAGACCAGTGGAGTCCCGCTCTCACCATATCAAAGGGTTAGCCTTAGCCTTTTTCCTTTTTTCACTCTTTGTTTTGCTTGGATGCTAACCTCTGCTAGTCCTTCTCTCGATCTGCTCGATGCTCACAGACCCCAACCCAGACGACCCGCTCGTTCCAGAGATAGCTCATCTGTACAAGAAGAAGGACGGAGAATATGAGAGAATCGCCGCCGAGTGGACACGCAAACATGCTATTGGTTGATACCCTTGACTCCCTATGATGCTATGACTAGGGGGCTGTTCTTCATCTTTTCTTTTCCACAATACAATACAACCAACGGACTACCTGAGTACCAAAACCTACCTACCAACCCTGCCCTCCACGCGCAACCATCCACTTTGAGCCATACACACACACCTTTTTCTCTTCCCTTTCTTTGTTGTAAACTCGTGCGAGAAAATAAGGCGTTGATCGTTTACATGGATTGAAGCATGGTTTAACCGAGGAGTTCGCCCTATTCTACTTTACTGCCTACTTCTGCTTACTATTAGCTTTGAGACGTTGCGGTGCAGTGGTGTGACAGTGACGGGAACGGAACAGGAGGCGATTATTCGTATATTGTTCTTCCATATGTCGTTTGGTTCAACCATCGTCGAAGCATGCAATAACTTTTTTGTCTGCTACGAAATCAAACTGCAAAACTATCCCTCTACTTTTTCTCTGTTCCGTCTTTCTTACCTTATGTCTCCAACCACACCCTTCTTGCTCTTTGCCTGGAATACAAGCCTTGTGGGCGTCAGATCTTCCTTCTCTTGTCCCCCTATCCCCCTACATAACCCCCCTTCCCCCCTTTCATCGGTGCAATCATGCTACGTCAGTTATGCTATGTTACGTCTGCCCATGCCAACCAAGAAATATTAACGCTTGCTACGTCTTATGTCTTCTTCTCGGGTTATTAAATGCCGTAGTCTCATTAATCTTTCTTATAATTTCGCTGGCCATGCTGAAAGTACTCGATCATAGTACACCATAGTAGACAATCTAAATCAGTATAACGAAACACAAACATATATGAAACAACAGAAACTCCCTCAAATATGTATGGGATGTATATGTAAAATGAAAAGAGAAACAGAAAGGAAATAACTCCCCCATCGCCTCCCATCCCAGCCCACCACGGCGATACTCGATACTCCTACTCCGACACCTTGAATATGCATGCATTGCAACGGAGGAGGGAAAGGTATTTCAACTACCTTCTGCTCCTACTGCTCTTCTTCGATACACAGCTGCCGACCTGGCTCACGCTATCACTCGGCAGCACCGGATCGTCAAACTTGCTGCGTCCACTGCTCGAATGGCCCGACTGGCTTGACCGACTGCTCGACTTGGACCGCTTATGCTTGGACTTCTTGGATGAAGTCGAGGCGGTCTCGAAGATGGGCCGCGGAGTGACGTGTGAGCCTGCGTCGATGTCCTCCAGGTACAACGCACTACCACCCGCTACACTAGGCGGGAGCGGGATCTGATGAGCATGCGAGGAAGAGCGGTGACTAGACGAAGCTGATGAGCGGCGGTCACGGTCACGGTCGTGCTCACGATCGTACTCATGATGGGAATGTTTGCTATGACTGCTGCTGGTATGCGAGTGTTTGGAGCGGATGGACAGCTTGGAGACGGTCGTGGTCGAGCCGGCGGGCAAGGGGATGTTGCGAGCCGAGTGGACGGACGAATGCACGCTGGGCTCGAAGTCGTAGCCGTAGTCTTCCTCAATGGTGCGCATGCAGCGGTCTCGATCGTTCTTACTGCTATGCTTCGAGTGGCTGGAGTAGCTTGACTTGGCCTTGGTGGATTTGGCCTTGATGGTCGAACCCGATGCCTGGCTGGAGGCTACGCTCTTCGCATAGTGCTGCTGCTGACTATGGCGGCGCTGCGAGCCACAGCTGCCGGAGCTACAGGCGCTGCCGGCATCGCCGCGGTCTCGGTCAGGATGGTCGTGGAAGCTGCTGACGAAGCTCGGGCTGGGCTGGTAGTGAGGGTATGTGCGAGAGTAGGAGGATCTGCTGTCGTCAGCAACGCCGCCGGGCACGCCCTCGATGGCTCGGATCTCGAGATCCCCTGAGGCGCCGCTGTACATGCTCCCGTCTGATGGGCGGCGTTCAGAGCCAGAGGTCGATCCAGGGGTTCCTGGCAAGAAACCGGCAGCAGCAGCACCGCCGGTGAAGCTCTTGGCTTGCTCGAGGATGCGGCTGGTTTGTTCTAGGCCCTCGAACACGGTGCTGGCCCAGGGGTTCTTGGAGGCGGCGCTGCGAGCATACCCGTCTTCGAGCTGGCCCTGTTGCTGGCTGGCTTCGATGCCTCGGTAGCCAGTATTGCTCCCGCCAGAGACCGAGGGGCTGGATTGGGGCGCAGCTTCGATGTAGCGGGTGGTGGTGACTGGTGTGATGGTTTCATGCTGGCTCTGCGAGTCTCCCTTGACCATGGCGTATGCAAGAGCAGCTCCAGCAGCGGCGCCGAGGAGAGTCCCCACCACCGCCTTTGCGCCGGACAAGTTGTCACCGCTCTTTTCCTTGGTGACGATGTAGTGGACATTGGTCGTGGTCGTGCTGGTGGTCTCCTGTCTGGATAGCTGTTGGCGTGGGGGCTGTGGTTGCTGGGGCGCGGGAGCCATGACGGACTTTGAAGACATCTTCTTTGCAGTCGAGGCAGAGCTGACTTCTGACTTTGCAGGAGCAGCAACTGTCATGGCTCTGGATTTGGCAAAGCTGACCTCGGACTTTGCGGGGGCAACGGTCATGGCCCTTGACTTGGTAGAATGTTTCGAGACCACGGAGCCATTGTCGACGACGGTGAGGGCCTTGTCGTTGACGACGCTGCCCTTGCGGCTGGGGGCAACGCTGGGGGCGTCGTTGCGGTGGACAGCCTCGATGCTGTTGCCGTCAAAGTCGATCACGGCTGCGCTGAAGTAGTTCCGTTCGGCGTCTCGCACGCACGGCTCGCCGTGGATCTTGCCGCCGGCCTTGAGAGCGGCAATGAAGAATGCACTGACTGCATCTCGGGATGGAGCCGGAAAGGCAATATGTGCAGCTCCAACAGGGACTCTACTGGCAGTTAGTATTTTGTATATCAATTGGTTGGTATGATTCAGTTAAGTCCTACCCAGGTCTCTCCTCTGCAATCCAGAAATCAGCAGGCTTGCCAGGCTCGGTACCGAATCCGACGCTGTTCTCATGGCGGCCCATGAAGCAGTATCCCAATGGCTGGAGACATGATAGGAAGAAGGAGGTGGAGGTAGGCAGATTCGAGACAGTGAGAGTAAGGTGGGAGACGGGCATTTTAGATTATGACCAGCGTTGAGTATAGGGAGTGTGGAGTGAGTTTCTCGGAGGGAATGGTTGATATATGTATGACCGAGCAAACGAATGCCTGGTGGGACAACGAGTTTCGAACGAGGGATAGAGGGATTATAAGCAAGACAAGAACAGACAGCAAACAGAAAGGGGAGAAACTGTTCTGTTTGCAGCCGTATATACACCCGTATATACGCAGGATATATAGTAGAGCAAGAAAGCAGGAGACAAAGAGACAAGGAGAGCAATATAATACTTCGACCACGTCGGAAGTATTAAATATATCAACCAATTCTTCTCCGGATGCAAGAAAAAGGAAGCAAAAAGAAGAGGCCAGCAAGCAAGCGGACGGAAGCCCACCAATCCACTCACTCATGCAGAGAGTGTATATCAATAAGTTGAGCATCAAAAAAGAAGTGCAATGCAGTGCCTGCCTCTGGGTCCACGCATCGAAAGTCATCCAGGGGCCGAGAAAGGCGTGAGGTGAGGCATCGCATAAGCGTGAGTACCCAGCCGTAACTCAAGTGAAAGAAAAAAAAAAAAGGGGCTCTGGCCAGCAATTCCTCCGTTCGCATTAGCATCGACGAGGCATCCCATCCCATCCCTTCAAAGAGGGCAAGGGGAGTGTTCCGTGGACCAATCGAGCGGTGTCTGGCGGATACACGTATGTAACTATGTGCCTAGCAGTGAAGTATGCTTTGCCATCCCCGGCCGGGGGGGCCTTGGGTTGGACTGCCCACTGCCCATCAGACGCTCATGCATGGAGCAAAGCAGGAGAAGACGAGCCAGAAGCAGAATCGAAGGAGGATGAAGAGCGGATCTCCGTCGGGTCGGCTGGCTCTAGTTCTGGCGGAGGTTGGTTGCAGCCAGCCAGCCAGCGAGTACAGGCGTGCTAGTAACAGGATGAATGCCCGACGTTATGTCTTTGGCCCAGTCGACAATCTATAAGCCGTCTATGTCTCGTTTGGAGTACGCTGGTTGATGCGCAGTGTCTGGCTGGCGATGTCCGTGGCGAGCAAGACAGCGGTAAGAAGCAGCCCGGAGACGCCCCAGTAACTAATTGACTGGTTATCCATAGAGTATAGACCAAGGGTTTCAGTTCAGATGCAAGCATCGAGAGAGAGTAAGAGATGGCTAAGGCTGTCCATCGTCTATTGGCTGGCGGACGGTCTTGAGGTGCAGCAAAGATGAGGCGGTGGCCTTGCTCGACCTGCATCCACGCCTGACGAAGCCGGGGTCAGGATGGGGATAGGCAGAGGGACAAGTCGGAGGGAGCGTTTCTTTTGCCAGCAGCTCCATTGACTGACTCACTAGCTCGCTAACTCAGTAAAACCCGCTGATGGAGTTGTTGTTTGATTATTATTTGGAAGAAGCGGTAACTTGGGTGGATTGCGGGTGGTGGAGTAGGTGAGGATCTGGTGGAAGAGGAGGCTGGTCCAGTCGGATGACGGTTATTTTCATATTAATATAGACAGCGTTACTTTTAGCCGAGCAGCGGTGAGATAGATTACAGTGGTTGAAGTTGAAGAAGTTGAAGTCGAAGCAGTTGAAGTTGTAGTAGTTGTAGTTGGAGTAGTTGGAGTAGTATATCAGTGGACGTGCTGGAGGGCAGCCCTATAGACAGACAGACAGATATAGATAGGTACACAAAAAGTAGAGAGAGACCACTCCAACGCCGTGATGCCCGTTTCCCATTTTCCAATCCATTTTTTGTGAGTTGTGAGTAGTTGTGTATGTTGTTGACCCAGGGCTGTTGAACCGCCGTGTTCGTGTTTTGGTTGCAAAAACAGAACGAGACCCAGCAACATCATCATCATATCATATTCAAAAAGCCGAATGTGCAGAGGAAGAATAGAGAGGAAGAATAAAAAAAGGAAGAGAAAGAAAGAAAGTCCAGGTAGACAACTCCCACCGCCAGACGTTCCCAGGCCAGATAGAGTACATGAATCATATCAAATGGAAATTTGCAGCCGTTGATGTTGGTATCATTGGCTCGAGCCTCGCCAGTTTGGTGGACAATCTGGCCTGGGAAACACTGGTGAGTGGAGAATTGCGTGTTGGTATCTTGTCTTTGTCGGTGGGTGGGTGGTATACGAGTATCCTCGGATGTTGAAGAGATAGATGCTGGTCGACCTACGTTAGCATTCAACAACAAACCGTTAACTAGCACACTGTTAGCATGAATATACGTAAGTATAGATAAAGAGCATACTTAGACAATGTTCCATGCATCCTCAGCGGCGTGACAGAACTTGCTGCAGGCGACGCTGGCGCTGAGACTGAAGTTGCTGATGGAGATGGTGTCGTCCTTGAAGGCGTCTGCAAAGTCGTCTCGCCCCTTGGCCATGGCGCCGACAAACACGCAGATGCTCTCCTTGGGCCCCAGGGTCTTGACGTAGTCGTTCACCCGCACGATGGGGGCGTCGAAGCTAAGCGTGACCTTCCTGCAGTTGGGCGGCAGGTGGTCTGTGATGGGGTTCTTGATGACCTTGAGCAGCTTCTCTTCGGAGTTGGTGGAGCGGATGGAGAGCCGGTGCAGCAGCTGGACCATGAGACCCGCGAACCGCTTGAAGGTGCGAGGGATGCGGACGGTGGGGGAGACCTCGATGAGCACCCCCTTGGCCGTGTGGATGTATATCTGCAGCTTCCCGGCCTTGTTGACGGGCGAGTCCAGCAGGGTGAGCAGGCACTACAAACCATTACTACCAGCTAACTTTGACAGAGATAAAGAGGAAAAGGGAGTCGAGTATCGCCTGAGACGATGAGGGCAAACCTGGTGGGTGATGTCCGGCCGGGCCTCGCTGATGTCGCGGTTCATCTTGCGCATGATGCCGATGTGCTCGTCGGAGTTCAGCAGCGAGTACTTCTCCTCGCGGCCGTTCGCGGCACGTCCGGGTCCTCCGCCGCCGCCGCCGCCGCCGTGCGAGGAGCGGTAGGTCTCGAGGCTGGCGTTGGAGAGGACGACGATGAGGCGCTTGCTGTCCTTGTCCTGGGCGGAGACGGGGACGTGCTGCTCTGCGACGAGCTGGGGCAGTTCGGGCGGCGGGCAGGACTGGGTTCCTAAGACCGGCGGCTTTAGCTGGGCCATCTTGTTGAAGCGATGGCTGGGTTGACAGGCAGATGTTGGTGATGGTGAAGTTGGTGATGGTGAAGTTGGTGATGTGTCAGTTGGTGGGAAAATCTGCGCCCAACGGCGACTCAGAGCAGCACAGCGCCGACCAGCGAGAAACCGACGGAAGAGCAGGCAGAGACGAAGGAGATGCGACGGAGGAGTCAGTCTGGCTTACTCGGTCTCTTGCGCTTTGCCATCTCGGCGCTGTTGGCGGCCTTGGACATCTCGCCCATGATGCTGCTGTCTGTGGGGGTTCGGCGGGGAGGATAGCAGTCAATTAGGACGAAGAGAGTAGAGAAGGAGAAGACAGTAACGAAGAGAAGAATATAAAAGAATAGACGAAAGACGAGACGAAAGACGAAGAAAGACGAAGACGAAGAGCTGAAAAGGCGAGGCTGAGACGGAAGAAAAAAAGAGTCAAAAGACGAAAAATGAGTCGCTTCTTTGTATTTTCGTGATTTAATTCCACTTTTTCGCTTTTTCGCCCTTTTAGTGTCAAAACCACAACAGCTGAGCTCTTCTTCTTCTTCTTCTTCTTCTTCGGCTTCGCTCACGGCTATTTAAGCGGTTAAGCAGGCCGCTCGGGGGCCGGACAGACGGACGGACAGACTCTCACGTTGCAGACTGGCTGCTCTCTGCGTCTCGGAGTCACAGGACACGGTCTGCTGGGTTGGACAGCCAGTGCCCTTGCTGCTTGCACTGGCACAGAGAGAGGGACATCGCACGACCGCAAGGGGAGAAGACAATGGCCGTGGAGTACAGAGAATACAAGCTGCGACGGTCTTGCCGGTGTTGACGGTTGACGGTTGACTCTTGACTGCTGCAGTTGGCAGTCTGGTGTCTCGATATATAAACATGGAGATACAGCTCAATTGATACCACGGACAACAACGATATCCATCTAGAAATCAACCTATCTACATCGGTCTGCGAGTATCGACATCAAGATGCAGCTCTGCAAGCTCGCCGTACTCTTCCTCTCGTCCGCGGTCCTGGCGGCACCCGCACCCGCACCGGCCCCAGCTGCAGCCCCAGTTGCAGCTCCAGCTCCAGCTCCAGCTCCAGCTCCAGAGTCCGCCGCTGTTTCTCCCGAGATGTTCAAGCGAGTTCCTCTGTGCTTCAAGAACGGGTCTCACTGCGAGCACAACGACGAATGCTGCACCAACAAGTGCCTGGTCCCGAATGACCCTCGCAAGGCCTACTGCGGGTAGTCCTCGACGGCTGGACACTATAATAATAATAGCGACGGCGGGGTATCAACGCGACTTCTCGGCACTTTCGGCTTCTTCAACATGACTTATGACTTCGGCTTTGACTTCAACCAAATCAACCAACTTCTTCCATCAATAATATCGATCAATATCAATATCAATAATATTTATATCAATAAATAATCAATATCAACATCAATAATGAATTAACTTTGATTATTAATATATTATATAACGAGTCTCTTAATAATATCTTACTAAAACACGCTAACCCTTTGTGGTAAATTGCATCGCGTCCAAAAAGCCTCAACGCGCTTTCGCTTTATCTTCGAACAAGCAAACCAGAAGACAGAGAAGAGGAAAAGAAAGTCGAATCACGGCATTGGCAGTCAAGATGGGCATAAAGAGTGAGTATATAGCCTCTCTTATTGATGCAATAGACTAATGAGGCAGACTTGTACCAGATAATATCGGAAAACGCCCCCGATGCCGTCAAGTCGGGCGAGATCAAGAACCAGTTCGGGCGCAAAGTGGCCATCGTGAGTGCATCTACTTACACTTACAGAGAGTTATACTGACAGCAATAGGATGCGTAGGTGTTGATATCTAGTATAAGCGAAGACTTGCTTACGTCTACAGATCCATGAGCATATACAGCTTCCTGATCGCAGTGCGGTCAGACGGGCAGCAGCTCACCAACGAGTCCGGCGAAACCACCTCGCATCTGATGGGCATGTTCTACCGCACTCTGCGCATGGTCGACAACGGGATCAAACCACTGTACGTATTCGACGGGGCCCCTCCAAAGCTCAAGTCCGGCGAGCTCGCGAAACGAACCATGCGCAAGGCCGAGGCCCAGGAGGCTGCCGAAGAGGCCAAGGAGACCGGCACCACGGAGGATGTAGAGAAGTTCTCGCGGCGGACGGTGCGGGTAACAAAGGAGCATAATGCGGAGTGTAAGCGGTTGCTAGAGCTGATGGGGATACCGTACCTGGATGCGCCGACGGAGGCAGAGGCGCAGTGTGCGGTGCTGGCGAGGGCCGGCAAAGTGTTTGGCGCTGCGTCGGAGGATATGGATACGCTGTGCTTTGCGGCGCCGGTGTTACTGCGCCATTTGACCTTTAGCGAGCAGCGCAAGGAACCTATTCTGGAGATCCATCTGGATAAAGTGCTCGAGGGGCTAGGCATGGACATGACGCAGGTATACCTCACCAAACGCATATACTTTGTGTGTGCTCGTACTGATTAGAGGGGTAGTTCGTCGATTTGTGTATTCTGCTTGGATGCGACTATCTCGACCCGATCCCCAAGGTCGGTCCCAACACCGCGCTGAAGATGATACGTGACCACGGCACGCTCGAAAAAGTCGTCGAGGCCATCGAGTCCGACCCGAAGAAGAAATACGTCATCCCAGACGACTGGCCGTACCTCCAGGCCCGCGAGCTCTTCTTCAACCCGGACGTGAGACCCGCCGACGCGCCGGAGTGTGACTTCAAGTGGTCTGCTCCCGACGTCGAAGGGCTGGTCAGGTTCCTGGTCGAGGAGAAGGGCTTTAGCGAGGACCGGGTGAGGAACGGGGCTGCTCGGCTGACGAAGAACCTGAAGAGTGCCCAGCAGTCGCGGCTGGAGGGATTCTTCAAGCCCGTGGCTAAGACGGAGGAGCAGAAGGCGAGTGCAAAGCGAAAGGCAGAGGAGAAGGCGGAGGCGGCGAAGAAGAAGAAAAAGGAGGACGCGAAGGCCAAGAGGGCGATGGCTGCGAAGCCTCGAGGCGCTGGATAGTCTTCTTCTCTTCTCGTCTCCTTTTGATCTCGTCTCGTCTCCTTTTTTTGATATGATCTGGTGTTGTTGTTGATGCATCTGCGGCGTTGGCGTTTCTACTAGGCTACCTGCTATCTATGTACTCCTCCCACTACGACTTCTGATTTCTCTTCCCCCCATGCATATAATGGGATGAAAGTAGTACCATCCTGAAGAGCATCCCTTGCTCCATCTATCCATCTAACTTTTATCTCTTCATCTGTCTTTTGTGCACCAAGATCAGCTCTTCTTCCAGCTCGTCTTCTTGTCTCGAAGTACCTTTTTTGTTTTGTTTTGTTTTTTGGCAAAAGTCGATGGCCAAGCCTGCTGACTAAGACGAGGATCACCAAAACAAAGACGAAGAAGAAAAAGCGACGGCGAGAGAGACGAAGAAGAAGAAGAAGATGATGATGATGACGATAGTAGATGGTAGATGGTAGAGATGATAGTAGATGGTAGAGAAGAAGAGAAGAAGAAGAGAGAGATGCATGATGTCGAGCTAGACGCTGGCTAACCATGGAACGGGGAGAGAGAGCACGCGGCAGAAGCAGGATGATCGCTGCCTGTGGTCGTGATCCTAATGGCTGTCCAGACAAGACTCGCTGCGACGAGCAACGAGATAGAGATAGAGCTACTTTGATGTCTGTAGAAGACAGAGATGATACTGTTATTCTGATCCTAGAAATCTACGTAGAAAGGAGAGAGTGGTGGTGGAGGTAAAGGTGGAGAGACACCCCAGACTCAGGATATAGATCTAGATAGAGACTCGCCTGCTCAGCGACGACGACGAGGTGATGAAGCCTTTACCATGATTGAAGATGCCAAAGAAGACTCCAGCATGACTCTCCGGCCTCTTCCAAGCCGAATTCACGTCTCTTCTCCCTCCGTCGGCCTCTCTAGCAACCAGCATCACCGCCTGAAGTCCCCAGGCAGGCCAGACAAGAAGAGACGAGAATGAGCGAAAAACGACTGACGGCGACGACGAGGACGAAGAAGAAGAAGAGGCGCGTCCAGCCAGCCAGCGAGCATGATCTGGATATACGAGACTCACTCACAACATCGACTGAAGAACAGACGACGAAGACGACGAAGGCCGACCAGACAAGACTAGACTAATAATCAAATAGAATGAGAAACAGGAGAGACGACAAGGTGATGCGGGAAGATCAACTCGCCCGTCCCGGCGCGCCTTTATAAGAAGGCCGTCCATGCCCCGCCCAGCGCCAGCCTTTCTCTTTCTCTCTCTCTTCTTCTTCTTCTTCCTCTTCTTCGACCAGCAACAACATCGCGACTCGACAATAACTCGACTTGGAGACTCATCTTACTCTTCTCTACTTCTTCTACTTCTATTCTTTTACTTCTACGTTCAAGTAAATCAATCATCATGCCTGCTAAGAAAGCTGCCTCTGGCAAGTCCGCCACCCACGCTTCATACAAAGGTACGACGACCACCACCACCACCCTGCGTGATCCAGCACTTGCGCCCGTCGCTCGTCGCTGAAATGCATATCGCTGTGATCGCGTTCGCCTGCTGACTCGTTTGATATAGATATGATCAAGGACGCCATCATCAACGTGAGTAGATCAGTCCCGGTTTGATGGCCTCTCGCTCGGTTGTTGGTGTTCTGTCGGCTGTTGCTTGTGCGTGTCACGACAATAACAACAACAACAACATAACACCACAACCAGCGATAGACAGTTGATACCCTTGCGATTAATTGATGTTAACTCATTATTCTGTATAGCTGAAAGAACGTAATGGAAGCAGGTAAGCTGTCGTCTCGTCTCGTCGCTGGTGATGTTGTGATGCTAACTCGATGCAGCCGTCAAGCGCTGAAGAAGTACGTCCAGCACAACAACACCATCACCGTCACCTCCCAGGCCACCTTCGACGCGCAGTTCAACCGCGCTCTCAAGGCCGCCGTCGAGAAGGGAGAATTCACCCAGCCAAAGGGTTCGTCTCTTTCCCTACTTTTATCTACTCTGGTGTTAACACGCGTCTAGGTCCCTCCGGCCCAGTGAAGCTCGCTAAGAAGGAGACCAAACCAGCTGCTAAGCCAGCTGCCAAGGTGCGTTGTTGGTCCATGTTACCGGCCATTGTTGTCGTTATACTAACTGCATTATAGAAGGCTGCTAAGCCCGCTGCTAAGACAGCGACTAAGAAGGCCTCCTCCACCAAGAAGGCCGCTGCAAAGACCGACAAGGCCGACAAGGAGGAGAAGAAGCCGAAGAAGGCCGCCGCTACCACAAAGAAGGCTGCTGCCCCCAAGACCCCCAAGCCCACCAAGGCCAACACCACCAAGCAACGCAAGGCCACTTCTTCCGTACGTCTTATCTTTGCTTTCTTTCTTTAATGTCTACTAACATGTGGTAGGCCCCCGCTGTCGTTGATGTTCCCAAGGTGCTAGGCCAGACCAAGTCCGGCAGAGTGACCAAGTCATCTGCTAAGCCCACCGCTAAGAAGGCCGCCGCTTCAAAGAAAAAGGCCGCCTCCTCCACAAAGGGAACACCCAAGAAGGCCACTGCCACTACCTCCAGCTAAAAAGAAAAAAAAGGAACCAACATCATCTCCGTCATGAACTTGTAATACGTGTGTTGAATTGGCCCCTTTTCAGTCCGTTTTGTTATTTTTTTTTTTCTCATCGTTTGTCTCCCTGGTGGATGGGATCTCGCTCGCACTTCAAAATACCCTCTTCATCTTTTCTTCGTCTACTTCCTCCACCATCACCAGGGAACAACAAATGAACCGGCGTCTCGAGGTGGGGGATCAGGTTATGGATGGAACTTGCATTACCTTTGTTTTCGTCTTCGCGTTTGTGTGTTCTTGCTCTTCGTGTTAATGTTTATGGCTATGTTTTTGTTCTTTTCTTCAACGTCCGAGTAGTCTGTTAACTAAGTAGTTCAGACCTTTTTGTGTATGGATATGGAATCTATTTCTGCTGTCGTAAGTACGCTCTTCTACGACCCCGGGCATTGGCGCATCCAGCGTCAACGTCAACAGCTCAGCTGATGTCCATCTCGTATATACCCTTATAAATATAGACGTCTTCTCTGACTACCAACTGTACTCCCCCCCAGGTCACTTACCAACCGCAAAATGGCCACTTCAACGTCCACCATGGACAAGCTCAAGGCTATCAAATACTCATTCACTCACAACAAAGCGACTTCTACTTTAAAACTACGGCTTCATGCCAAAGAACGTCATGACTGAAGGAGAGTGGGCAAAGGCCAGAAGGGATGCGCCAAAGGTCAAGTCTGCTACGGGCCTGAAAGCCACTGCTTACCAGGGGCATTACTGGTGATATCCTTGCACACCCAACGCATTCATCGGGGGTAGATTGTACGCTGTCTCTTCTAGTTCTGTGTCTTAGTCTATGTAACATTTGGCCAGGGCATACCAGTTCATGTTGGACGTTGGGCGGGACAAATTAGCAACATCTCGACCACGTAACAGTAATCACCAAGCAACTTCAACATGGCCTCCTTTCAAGATTTGCCGCACGAGATAGTCCAGCTTATCGGCAGCTACCTATCACCGGCCAGTCTGCACAACTTCTCCCTGGTCAACAGCCTCTGCTGCGCTGTCTCTGACCAAGGCATCTTCCAGCACATCCATCTCGTTCTCTCAAAGAGGAAGAAACTGGTCGAAGAGCTGCACCGATGGGACCAGATTCTACACCAAAGCCCAAGGCGAGCAAGCAGACACGTCCGTCGTCTCACTATCAGCTGTACCTGCTACCCCCGTGGCTGGACAGATTTTGAATCATGGGCTGAGACTAAGTACTGGTCCTGCGGGTTCTTCTGCGACTGTGTCCCCGATAATGGCGTCCTACACGACTTTTTCTACTATCCTACTGGCTCGACTGCGCTTACTGCCGCTAGACTTGACCAGGCGGGCCAGGCAGAGCTCGAAGACGAAGATGAAAGATGGCGTTGGCAGGAGAAATGGAACTGGAGTCCTCTGACTGAGTTTATCGCTCGGCTTCCGGCCCTACATGAGCTGGTGTACTTTAGGCGGAATGTGCCTCCGCCCGGTTTACTGGATGTTCTGGACGACAGACATCCGCTATGCCGTTTACATATTCTGTTTCCTCCCCTTGAAGTGCTGCCAGGCAATAGAGGGCGGATAAATAGATACCATCGTCAACTGTTCACTTCGCCTAACCTACACCATGTAGCGGTGGATGTATCCGAGACATCCCACGAGGTCCATGCAGCGCCGGATATTCCACCCAGAAGTCTATACTGGCTAGGTATCTCGGACAATAACGTGACAGCGACTTGCTTCGAGGCCCTGGCTAGATACATACTTTTCTCCAGCTTGCGTTGTCTGGTGCTCACGGGTGACATTCGGGAAGATGGGATAGCATGGCTGGTGTCGAAGGCGGGCATATTCACTTCCCTTGAGGCCCTTACCTGCGACCTGACTGCCCGCGATGATGACAGGTACTCCTTCGAGGTCCGGCAACGCAGGGATCAAGCTGGCGTTGCGGTTCTAGCAGCCTTTCGTCCCCTCAAGCGGTTGATGCTAAATGACTTGTACGGTAGAGCGGTGTATGATGCTGCCCTACGGTACCACGGTCCAACATTGCAACAACTCTTCTTGCACTCTGCACATGACAAAATCTTGCTCCATGCGTCTGTCAAGATGATTGACAATATTCGTCTTACTTGTCCCAATCTACGAAAACTACGTCTATCCATCCGCCGCTCCCAGGGTGATCGCCATGAAGTCGAGCATTACCGGGCTCTGGCCAAAATACCCAAGCTGGAACTGCTACACCTCTACCTTGATCCCATAAACTATTCAAGGGACCCAGACTCCCCGGAGACATATGATTTGACCCGGGCTCCCGTTGTGGACGACGCATATATTCGTCAAAGTTTGGTAAATTACGCTGTTGACGCTTCTCTGGCCGCCAGCATATTCAGGATCATAGCCAAAAATCCTTTTACTGGTGGGTATTCGGCATTCAAAGACATCACGGTCTATGTACGCACTGGCAGAGCACGGGAAATTAGTTCGGGGAACCCGGCTTACGCATCTTACTTCTCTTTTCTCCACTATTTAACACACAAGTCATGGAAGTGTACTCGCGGTGAGGCCTCTGATGAGGTGGTTGTTAAAGAGATCGACGTTGTATATCTTCCTAGGATGAGGAGATTGAGGGCATTGGTGGGGATCCTGCAGGGTTATTCAGGAGTATTTGGCCGGAAAGACGAGGGAGAAATTGCTTGGAGGATTGGTACAGTCTGCCATTGGATGTAGATACTTAGATCGCTGGTTATCACTGTGCGCTTTTAGTTGTATAATCTATTTGTTTCACTGGAATTGGACTGGAATTGGCTGTGAAGCTGATATAGTTATTCAAAGACCTCATTAGTCGGTGATTATTTGCTATGCTGGGCTGTAAGAAATTGTCAAACACCTCTCAATATTTGTCTTGAAGCAAATTCCATATATAGCTCTCTTTTTACCTGTCATAAATGAGGTTTTTGCAATATCACCTCTAATCACGTTTTGATAAGCCAACTTCTTCTATACCCCATATCAATATATCTTCTTCTTCTTTTTTTTCAACAAGCAGCCTCCTTTGCGAAGGCTTCACAATTTTGGGCTGCTGGACCATTTAAGCCACCATACTGGCTAGTGTATTTGTTGATAGGATAATGAGTGCCTGTTGGCCATTTGCACCTCTTCGACCTGTGTTTTTTCGGTCTATTATCTTTCAGTATCATCATCCAAGGCTTCCGAATAAATCTTTACTACCTCGACATCAACTTTCCAACCATTCAACTGCCGAGATACAACCTCTGGATGCAGAAGAAAGGATATACCACCCTCAGTCAGACGTGGAGGACCTAGAGGGATACAGGCCTGGCGGATACCATCCAACTGTTATCGGAGAGACTCTTTGCGATGGCCGCTATGAGATAATCCACAAGTTGGGATACGGGGGTTATTCCACCATCTGGCTTGCTCATGACCAACAACGCCAGCGTTATGTCTCACTGAAGATTCTTGTTGCAGCAGCTTCAAGGGACAATGCTGATAACGAGAGTAAGATTCTTCGTCTATTGTCAAAAGGTGGCCTGGAGCATCCCGGAAGGCGATTTATACCAACCTTGCTTGACCAGTTCTCATTTGATGGGCCTAACGGGCATCATCAATGTCTTGTTGGCGAACCAGCTGGGTGTAGCATAGCCAGCTCAAAGGAGAACAGTACAAATCTCATGTTCCCTCGAGACGCTGCAAGATCTATTGCGGCCCAGCTCGTCATGGGTCTGGACTATTTACATGCGAATGATATATGTCATGGGGGTATGTATGTTTCCCTTAATTGGTACCTATTCAATATATATTAACTACTGAATTGACAGACCTCCATTTGGGCAACTTTCTTCTTCGTGTCCCAGAATTTGATAACCTGAGTCCCGATGAACTGTACGAACGCCATGGTAAACCATACGAGGTTCCTACGCATCGGCTTGATGGAAGGCCTAGCACCCCCCATGCACCATTGCATGTTGTTTATCCTATGAAACAGAACATGCCTTCGAACGAGATAACAGATCCTGAGATTCTAATTTCAGATTACGGGACCTCGTTTGCTGTTTCGAAAACGACGTCTCCAAGACTCCATACCCCGGCTCTTTATTCTCCTCCAGAAGACTTCTTCAACGACAGCATCATCGGCACCGCAGCAGATGTATGGACACTGGGAGTAGTCCTGTACGATGCCATGGGTGAACGACCACTTTTTGAAACGTTTGCATGGGATCCAGACGACATCATTGGTGAGATGGTGAATACACTTGGCTACGAACAGATGCCAGAACGATGGTGGAACTCCTGGAAGTGTCGCTCTGAGTTCTTCAATGAGGACGGTTCCTGGGTCAGCGATTTCCGGCGCATTGGCACACCTGCGTTCCGCCGTCTTCACCAGCGGATGTGGGACATGGGACGTGGAGAGACTCCCGAAAGTTGTCAATGGGATGTTGCTGGTGGTGAGCTTAAGGCGTTGGAGGATATGTTGAGATCTATGATGACTTTTGAACCAGCCCAAAGACCAACGACGAGGCAGCTTCCGGCCTCGGAGTACATAGTCAAATGGGCCTTGCCAGCATGGCAGGAACAGATGCAAAGGAAGCACTAAGTAGATACCTCGTATTGCGAGCATCAACAGAGCGGAAGCCCCAAAAGGTCCAGCCTCTGTCAATTAAGTTTAATCGATTAGTCATTGCCCCGGGCCGATCCGAACCATTTAAGGTTTAACTGATGACTAATACTATTTTTAGCCTTGCTTATCTAACACAAAAGTCGCCTCTAACAAACGGTTGCATATTAGGGACTCGATCTCACAGGCAGGATGAAGCTGTAGCTATTTTTAATAATTGGGACTACACGATAGCATCGACTTATCAAGCTGGTTAGCCCAAGCTCTTCACTACTCATCTCACTCGTCTTTGAGAGAGAGATGGTCGTTTTAAGTACATTATAACCCAGCTTAAAGGCTGGTCAATGACGAGTGATCCTGAGACGTTTTAAACTGTATATCGGAAGCACGAGACTGAGCAGAAGAGCAACGGGGCCTGTCTATTAGGTGTGCAAACAAGAGATACAGGCAGGTCTGGTCCGAATTTCTGTCTATGTTGGAGCCAGAGGCAGCGTCAGATTCACCTGGAGTCATATCAAGTCGATTAAGCCCAAAAAATGAGTGAGCCTACACTAGTCTGACGTGATGATGTTATATCTTAGGAGTACTTCCAAGAAGCAAGCATTGCCTTTTATATTACTGTTCTTTCCATCTAGTTTAGTTGTTTATTTTATTCCCCTTACTCGGAAGCCAGCCTTGGGGTTACCCCGGACAGATAAATCTTCTCAGCTCGTTATGAGTGTCGTGAATACATCTCACTATAGCTCCCTCTTTCACCATAGAATACGGCAGACTACTACCGGACTGTTACTAGATGCTTTCTTCCAGCTCGCGTCTTTTACTAGGTAGATGGAGATATCGACTCCTATCACCTCCTTCATTGACTCGACCCAGCTATTTATGCCCGAATAAGCTATCATGGAGAGCCTTTCGTACTTCCAACTTTGAGCAAGAAAACCCTGCTACATCTAACACTCCTAAATATGAATACATCGAAGGCTGTGAACGGCTGGAGAGGTACTGTCCCGGTGGCTATCATTTAGTGAAAATCGGTGACCAGCTCTGTGATGGACGGTACAGCATGGTCCAATTTCTAGGGCACGGCGGCTCTTCGACGGTATGGTTGGCTTCAGATAAGGTGCAGCAAAAATTAGTTGCTGTCAAGATAAAAACACCCGATTCGACTGATCAAGAGGAGGTGATCATGGCTGAAGTTCGTGATATGCCATCAATCAGACGGCTGCAGGACGTCTTTGTTGAACAAGGGCCAAATGGAACTCATCGATGCCTTGTCATGGAGACGGGATTATGCAGTCTGAGAGTGTCGAAGGTGATGTCTGCTCATGAACTGCTGTATCTATCTACTGCTCGAGCTATCATTGCAGATCTGGTGTTGATTGTCCAGTCCTTGCATGATCGACGGATTGTCCATGGCGGTTAGTTATTGCTACCAACTTATTATATGGCTATATGTCGTTGTTGACTCGCGGTAGATATCCACGGTGGTAACATTTTACTACGGCTTCCGGAAGATATCAAGCGGATAACAGATGCTACAACGCTGTATCAACGGTTTGGAGAACCCATTACTAAACCTGTTGTCAGAGTCGACCGTCAGCCACTGGATGTGGGCGTGCCTACTGATGTACACTGGCCGATACGGCTATCAGTTCGATCTGACAAGATTAAGGACTCTCATCTGCCCAGCATGCTATCTGACTTTACTTCCAGCTACTATCCAAGCCGGACGAGGCAGATAATTTCTCGTACTCTCCCTCACATCGTCCCTCCAGAAGCGTTCTTCATCGATGAATATAATGTGGAAGAGAGACTGTCCTTCCCTAGCGAAATCTGGACTCTGGCATGCACAGTATTCGACATTCTCGGTGGCGGAGGCCTCTTCAGCGTCATGGGAGGCGGCATTCTTCAGGACCAGGCCAGTGCGCTAGGCAAGTTTCCCGAGCCCTGGTGGTCCCAATGGGAGGAGCGGGCAGAGTTCTTCACCGAGGACGGTGAGAGTATCGAGTTTCCAAATTCTAAAGATAGCCTGGAGGACCGGTATGACTGGTTCGTCACTGCTGCTCGACGCCGATATAAAATGGAATATCCGGTCGAGGAGGAGAAGAGAGCCTTTCTCCAGATGATTGGGCCGATGCTTCGGTATTTGCCTGGTGAGAGGGCGAGTATTCGAGACGTTGTTAATTCGGAGTGGATGCAGAAATGGGCTCTCCCATGTCTGCATCGGAGTAGTTAAGAGTGCCCTCTCTTGTAACATAGCAGTGTCTCAAAGATCTCATCTCCTAGTTATCCACAGTTCCCATATAATGGACGACACCCCTTTGACCCGGGAGTCCAAACAGCCAACTCACATTTCTTATATTCTTGTCTCCAGGTTGTGGCAGTGCAGGCGATGCTAAGTCTCTTGTCCACGCTAAATCCTCCCACGCGCCATTGACTTTTGGCCCGCTTCCGCACCAACACGAGGCGAGCAAGACAGCGAGATTGAGGATTGCCCAGGGGTGGACCATGACCGGGCATCCATGTCTGCAATATAGCCTGATAATACTGTGCCTGTCTGGCTGGCTGGCTGGGCTATCTTTGGTTCAATCCTCAGCTAAACTGTGTTGGCCCGGAGACTCGGTAGAATTTCGCAGTCGCCCTCAGTAGAATCTGTCTGTCTCTCTTAATCCATCATCACCGTGACTGTCACAGTCTCGTCTTACTCGTCTTCGTCTATCAGCCCGTAGTTAGTTCCATCCTGCAGCGAGGAAGAATAGGGGGTCCGAATCAACGACGACGGCAGCAACGACGTACGACTGAACCGACTGCCAGCGTGTCAGTGTCCCCGTCAACCAGCGCGGCCTAGCCTTGCTCGTATCTCGCGCTCCCTTCGATAGGACTTTAGTGGCCCCCTTGCTTCTGGCGTCTTTCTTGCTGTCGGAGGGTTCCTTTTTGTGGCTTGACAGCGAAAGAAAAAAAAAAATAAATAAAATAAAAAAAACGAACTTTTTATGTTTCTTGCTTGGCGACGACGGCGAACTGACAATCCCCAGCGACGACGACGACGACGAAGAACGACTGTGTCTCTGCATCGGCTTCACGGTCAACCTCCATCGCCAGCTTCTTGTTTTCAACCAGACGACGGCAAGGTGGAAGACCAGACGAGACGACGAGTCGACGGCCTGAAGCTGCTCGTCCGGCCGGTGAGTCTCTTTGCTGTCTCTGCCTCCTCAGTCCTTGCTTTGCTAAGCCAGGCCGCACAGTCAAACCGTCAAGTCAACTCCGTCATCGACTCGCTGCCGCCTCGCCTCGACTGCATCGCCCTCTTGCGGCGCCTCTTCCGTTTTGCCTGCGTGCGGCGTATATATTGCCTTCTCTCGCCTGGCCTGCTGACGGGCATGAGAGCCTCTGCTCGCTGTGTCTAACCGGATCCCCCCCCCAGAGTCCTCCCCAGTCGAGAGACAGCCCTCCTCGCACCGGAAGCGCACCTTCAACCCGCCCACTACACATGTTAGCCTTCGCTGGCGCAGACGAAAAGGCCGAAGGAACCTGGAGAGTCGATTATCTGGTCATCGAGCAGCCTCCTTCGCCTCCAGCCCTCTCGCAGAGGTCGAGTTTCCCGCAAACCATGCCGGCTCTCTCCTCGCCGGACGCCCCAAACAGCCATCAACAACATCAACACCAGCAGCACAACCAGCACAACCAGCACACCCCGGGAACCAAGCCTGCGTCCTCTCTGTTTGCTCATCCTGCGTCCAAACAACCGCACGAGAAAGCTGCTGCAAACACCTTTCTGTGGAACCCAGACTTCAACAACGGAGATACCGGAGATGGAGTCACCGCTTCGGCGAATTTCTTTGTTGACAGTCGCTCCAGGGGCCCAAATTCAAAGGCTGGAGCCACGGTTTCCATCTCTCCTTCGCGAGATCAAGATCGAGACCGCACAGAGAGCGTTGACTCGTCGCTGAGGAACGGGTGTGCCGTCTCCTCTCGCAACTCGATGGCGGACAACGCAACAACAACAACACCTACGACCACCACCAATGGCGCATCCGCCCACAACGAAGCATACGAAGAATTTGCTGATGAACACGAACGCTGGATGAACGGGACTGGCCAGGCTCAGGGCCAGCAGGGGACTATCAATGGTGCTGCACTGCCGTACCGACCTAGCTCGAAACCTAGCACTACTACGAACTACCAGGCCTCGCAGCTTCACAACTACACTGGATACCCGTCTACAGCGGAACTGACACCCCCAAGCTCCTCGTCCCAACACGAAGACGCTGGACCTGCTCCAACAAGACCACCACCGCCTATTCCAACTACCGCTACTACTACGACGAGTACTACTACTACCACCACCACTTCAGTTTCGAAACCCACAACTCCTACACCCAAACCTACAACAACTCTTGATACCAACAACCTCGCTCCAGAGCAACAAACCATCACCTATCGACACTCCTCTCCAGCACCTCAAGGACCTTCAAGCGCACACTCAGAAATACCTACTTCTCCCTCCAGCCCGCCAGGCGGCCGTCTCATCCACCGACACACCCTCCAGGTGCCACGCCACTCCTCATCACGAGCAAGCCGTGAACCCTCTACTCCCATCGCCATCGACGATACCCTCTTGCCTATCGACCGTGTCTCTTCTCCTACCTCTGTCCTCCGTCGTGGCTCTTTCACCATCCCTCGCCTTTCCCAACGCTCAAATCATTCAGAACCTCAATTGGACGAAGCCCTGCATGACGAAGGTGCTGCCAGATGGACGGAAGCGTTCAAGCAGCGCCGGGCCAGCAAACGAAAACGACGAGAGGAGGAAGACGAGGACCGCGTCATCGTCGGAACAAAAGTCGATCAGCACCACGTCAACTGGGTGACAGCGTATAACATGCTGACAGGCATCCGTTTCACCGTTTCTAGAACCAACGCCAAGCTTGACAGGGACCTCACAGATGCCGACTTTGATGCCAAACACAAGTTTTCTTTTGACATGTATGTCTACACTTATACGTCTATATTCTTTAGAGTGTACAAAACTAACAGTTGATAGTACTGGAAACGAGTTGACTCCGTCGGCAAAGTATGACTTCAAGTTTAAAGACTATGCACCCTGGGTCTTCCGTCGGCTGCGTGCCAAATTCCAGCTTGACCCGGCAGACTACCTCATGTCCCTTACCAGCAAATATATCCTCTCCGAACTAGGCTCTCCCGGCAAAAGTGGCAGCTTCTTCTACTTCTCTCGTGACTACAAATACATCATCAAAACAATCCATCATGCCGAACACAAACTTCTCCGAAGGATCCTCCGTGAATACTACGCACACATCGAAAACAACCCTAATACCCTCATATCCCAGTTCTACGGCCTACACCGTGTCAAGATGGCATATGGCCGCAAGATCCACTTTGTTGTCATGAACAATCTCTTCCCACCCCATCGAGATATCCATCAAATGTATGACTTGAAGGGATCGACAATCGGTCGAGATTTCAAGGAAGAAGACCTCGTAGCAAACCCCCGAGCGACTCTGAAAGATCTCAATTGGCTACGAAGAAACCGCCATATAAATTGCGGCAAGGAGAAGCGAGAGGTCTTCCTTGCCCAGCTCCGTCGTGATGTCAGCTTGCTTCAACGACTAAAAATAATGGATTATTCCCTCCTGATTGGAATCCATGATGTGGAGAAGGGAAATGAGGAGAAACTCCGTGATCGGACACTCCAGATCTTCCAGCCTGGAGGTGATTTGGCCGATGAACAACAACCGAACTTGCTTATGCGAACACCGTCTAGACTGGAAAATGCACGCAAGGCAAGAGAGCTAAGAGAAATGATTAAACGCGAGAAACCAGTTCCCATGGAACATACCACTGCCAAGATGCCGGACGAAGTGCTGGATGAACGGAAAAACCTGGTCTTCTACTCAGATGACGGTGGATTTAGGGCAACGAACGAGAACGGGGATCCTGGTAACGAGATATATTATCTTGGTGTTATTGACTGTTTAACTCATGTAAGTTTTGCATACGCCTCACCGCTGAAACTAAACAGTGAACTATACTAACACACAGCTCAATAGTATGGTATGGTGAAGAAAGCAGAGCATTTCTGGAAGGGACTTTCTCACAACAGCTCCCAAATCTCGCCTATCCCGCCCGAAGCCTACGGAGAGCGTTTCCTAGCGTTCATCACAAGTATCACCAAATCCAAAGACCAGGTAGAACGCGAAAAGCAAACGGCTGAAGCTGCCCAGACCCACACAACCGACGAAGCGACCACATCTGCGGAAAAGAAATCCGCCGATGCTCAGAAATCACAGTCCGCACACCCGGAGCCATCCCGAACTCTAAAAACAGTGAGTACCCCGGCAGACTTCAACAATGGCGGTGCCGCTGCAACGCTACCTGTTGTTGAAGAAGTCGGTGAGAGTAGCAGCACAGGGGGCCGGAGTGGACGAAGCAACGTGAGCAGAGGAGGAGAAGGAGACGGCGCCCCTGCGGATGAAGAACGGTGGACCAGCATGGAATCCAGACGACACAGTTTCCGCACCGCAAGGGAACCAGCTAGCCCGCCGCCGGTATCTGCGCCTCCACCAATTCCCTCCCCAAAGATCGGTGACGGCGAGTATAAATCACATACCTATTTGGGCAACCCAACCGACAGTAATGGAACCATCCGTGCTATAAGGAATAGTTCCGAGAGAGATAAGGAGTTGCCGCCTACGCCTGATAGACCTCCTATGCCTCAACGACGACCGCCCCCAACTCCACCTTCATAGATCTCTTATTCTTCTGCCACCCACCTGGCCTGCCTTTTGTTTGATTGTTTGTTTTTAACTGTACTTTTACTTACCATGCCATACCTCGCAAAGGATTAGACAACCCCTTTTTTTCCCAGCTAATTCATTCCTTTTTTTTACCCTTCCTCTTATCTCTTTTGTTCCATCATTATCATTCCATTCCATCGTGTCTAGCAATCTTTTAAGCAAGCATGTCTTCTATCCATGGCTATACATGCCACATTTGTTTTCCTCTGTCTATTTTTCTCTCCGTGTCGCCTCTCCTATCTTTCAATCAATTTATACCTTTCTGTATATTTCATTTTCTCCTTTCTCCTTTCTTCTCTCCTCCGCTTCTCTGTTCCTAATACCATCTATCTATACAGCTACCCACTTAGCTGTATCCATACTGTGTCACGACGTTGCACTGCAATTGCTTTAAAGACTGCTCTTTATTTCGTTATATTTA